AATTCTCGCGCGCCATTTAAAATCTTATAAAAAGGAGGAAAACTCTCGATTTTAGTTATTAATTGCAATTTTAGCGAGGTATTCCTCAGAAGACTCGCAACCAATGATAAGTCAGCTTGCAGCTCACGTGACAACTGGTCACGCCCCTTCGCCATTAGCTCCTGCCCTTCTGGACTCACACTTCGAACTTATTCTCTTTTCAGCGCTCAAAGAGCAAACTTCTGATGACAGCCGGAACACATCAAGCAGAATGCTTGATAATCCGGGCATAAGTGTAACTTGGAACTTGGATTTTAGTTAGCTTGTTGTTGTTTTAAGAGTTTGTTTAGAAAACTGCTCTTGTTGATTGTAGCGAATTCGCGGATTAGCTTTCTTTAGCTGTTTTTAATTAAGTTCTTTTGAACGTTTGAGTAGTTACTTACTGTGCGATTTGATACTTACTGTAATACTTACTGTGCGATTTTGTAATACTGCACGAATTTCTGAGGAAATTTAAGCATTCTTGTGATAAATTTTGTTCATTTTTCATCGGGCTTGTGCATTCATTTCGTAACGAACCCGTACGCGCGCAACAATTTTTGGTGTCAGGATTGGGGTTTTGAATGCCAATTACAAGAGCGATGGAAGAACAATTCAGGCAAATGATGACTGCATTTGCTGCTTTCCAAGAAAGGATGGAAGGGGCCGTCAACTCCGTTAAGGAAGAAATGAAATTGGGCTAGGAATCCGTTAAGGAAGAAATGATAATAATACATTTTGTTCATTTTTCATCGGACTTGTGCATTCATTTCGTAACGAACTCGTACGCACGCAACAATATTATAGCCCATAATACGTAGTTTCTAGAGTGTACATAATGTAAATGTATACTAAGGCCATGTTTCTATGTATATATAAATTTGTAAATTTGTGCCTTTATTTATTGATTTAGTACTTGATTTGTTGTATATTATTAATTTAAATTATCATTTTAGTATTGTATTGACTTTCTTTAGTAGCAAAGTATGGCTTCCTGTCCAGGGATTGTACTGCCAGGGATATGCAGTCCTGAAGTAATGTTACGAATTCACAATATATGTAAATAATGGTTGTGAAATTGTAGTATCTCTTGCATAAGACCTCAAGATGCGAAGATCCGCCAAAAAAATTGGGTTTGCTGGTGCAGGTCTATTTAACACTGAGGTTAGGTTAGGTTATTTAATTACGGGAAAGCCTCGAGGGCTATCTAAGGGGAGGGATGCCTTCGTGGAGGACTTTCTAAGGGAAACTGCCTGGTATACGCGTTACACATGAGGAAAACCACGAAAACACCCATGCAGCCAGCCCGTTCGCGGGATTCGAACCTCTTTAACACTGAGGTAAGTGGTTAACTCGAGAAATTAGCTTTCCTTGAAACATCACTATATAAATTAACAAACGGGGTTTGTTTTTATTTCTGAAGCAAGAGAATCAGTGTCTGTGATGTAGGTATAGCTGTGCGCCCTAAAGAGTCAAATTAATAGAAGTGATGATAAATAAATTTATAAAACAATTGGCGAATACTGGGTATAAATTCAGTAACTAAAATGACTTTAGTGAATGCTTTTTAAATGCTGCCGTTATTTTACTAATTGATGGCCTGGAGTCAGCCATTTACACAAATCACTTCCTTTCTATTTTTCATTCTTTTGTGTAGGTGTTGCATGTGTGTTTGTTGTTTTACTTTCTTTATGCCTTCGTCTACTCTTCTAACTATATCGAATATTATTCTAAAATCTAAATACTTCAGACGAATTAAGTTTCTGAAAATTTTTACACAAAGTATTTCTACATAAAGATATATTATATATAAGCCATAGGTACAAGTACTAATATAATTTAAAATGATATAATCGTTAAGTATGTGTAAACCCCGGTTATAATACAGAGCTTTTTCGCTCTTGTTGTAAAAATCTCGCAGTAAAAGGTTCCTGACTGATCCAGTAAATTGATAATTAATTCTCTGCGTCAAATAAAGTGCGTTGTGTTTAATAAACCATACTTAGGTAGCTGAAACAACAAAAGTTTTGCTCCTGCAGTAAATTTTGTGCTTGGTTACTCCCCCGAAACTACAAGCTGGAGTTAATCAATAATTTTAACGATCGTGACGCGTGAATGATGCCTTCATAATTAAGGACAAGACGGCATGTATCCCCCTTCAAAATACACGTACCCCGCAGTATGCAAGTGGCTCTCAATGGGCTTTTTAATTAGCTCATTTGCATAGTTCGCAGACCAACTGAGATGTCTCACTCCTGAAGTTCTACTATACTCCGACATATCTAATTACCAAGGGATTTCAAGTTACGTTTTTGGAATGCCTGTTGAATTGGTCAACGTCGATGACTCAGGAGGGAAGATGTGAATTCAACTAGGTAATATTTTCTGTTAGGATTCTGTATCTGTTGTTTTCTTTTTGATCCTAAATGCATATATTATTTATTTTCAATTATGAGAAGAATCTATTTTTTTAATTCAAATCTTCTGTGTAGAGTTTGCGTAAAAATGTTGACCTTCCTTTGCTGGAATATTAATTAATTATTTTTAAGTGTAAAAGTTAATTCTGTTGTATATTAAGTTTGGAGATTTTTAAAAAAAATAATAATCTCAGAATAGCTGATTTATTTCTGATAGTACAGCAAATGTAACGAAATGAATAGCAGGTATCACAAACCAACATTTAGATTAAATTTAAACTGTTCTGTAATGTACTTGCTAATTTAAGTGCTATATAGAAATGTGTGATTTCATTGATCTAAATGTCAGCAATAAATTCCACTAAGAAATATATCATCAAGTCCTTTTCGCAATGTTACAATTAAGAGAAAATTATGGTTTACTAAACGCTGAAGCCTATAAAATATATTATAATGTTATTTCGACAACATGCCGTACGATTTTACTTGATTATATTTAGAAATCACCAATTACTTAGTTGACTCTTCTCAAACTGTTTATAGATTTACTATACTTGCAAATCTGCAATTTGAAATAAGCTCAAAACATACATCGTCACCGACATATTAAGCATTTTAAGTTAAGCATGCCTAAGTTCATTAATTACCAATATGAACACAAAAAACATAAAAAATATTTCATATTAAAAATTGGCATCTGTTTACAAATGCAGCAGGTAACTAACTACATACAAACTTAGTTTTTTCCAAGTTCTGCAGAAAATATATTCCAATTCAGTTGGTTACAGTTGGTAGCAAAGAGACGTTAATCATATTGTGCTAGTAGTAGGTTCATCATATTGTACCCTCCGTAAGAACCAGTCACCGCAATTCATTTTGTCTTTCCTGTTATACAGATTAAGTTTACATACTTCTGAAGCGGACGAGTATTTCGAAGATAAAGGGAAAAAAAGCTAAAATTTTAGTTATTCAAAAAGTAAATAAAAATTTTCCTTCAAAAGTCATACTTTTACTAAAATTTAAATAAATCTTAAAACTTTACTAGAGCTACTCATACATTATGATACAATAGCTTCCCTAAAATGAAACAAAATTGTTGCGTGAAGAGAATGTGAACTTTTTTCACATCTTTTCTATCAATATTTTCATTTCAGTTGTTTGAAAGAAATATTATATTAACAGATCATTTATAATAGTAATTTAAAATGAAGTAAAGAAATTATAATATGCACAAATTTAAACAGCCTTCGTTTACTATTTGGTGTTCTTTCCTGTTTTAAATTTACACGCTATTCAGTTACCCAAACTTTACAGTATTTTCTAATTACTTTTCATTCTACATCTCTGTGTTATTTTACTGTTAGAAATTGTTGTAACTTAGAATTTCAATTCAATTTTCTCATGTAAATACCTACTTTAATTTTTAATATGTATATAGTAATCTTATTTATAATTTACTGTAAATTTTCGGGTCACTTCTTCAAATTATTTTACTTGCACAAGTTGCTATAATTTAAAATCAGTAAATTAAGCAATTAATTAGTAGCTTTATAAATGTCTGTCATATACTTTTACTACTTTTAATTTTCACTACTTTCATTATCTCTACTTTTTAATTTTAATATATTGATAATTATTTATAATTTGCTGTATTATCTTATGGATTGGATTAGACTGGATTATTCAATTATGGCAAAGCACATGAAGTCTATCTGCCTAAAGGGAGGAATGCCTTCGTGGAGGACATTCTAAGGGTAACTGGCTCGTATACACGTTACAAATGGGGAAAACCACGAAAACGCCCATGCAGCCAGCCCGTTCGTGGGATTCGAACCTCGGACGGAATTACCAGTATTCAGCTTCTTTACCGCTCGACCGCTGGTGGGCCTATTGCGGAATGGAACAAGATCCAGTGGTCAATTCCGAGAGTGAAATGTATCCCTCAGAGTATTTTATTTCGGACGACTCTGTAAAAGTATTTTTCAGACAGGGAAAGTTGGAAAATAAACTCTTTCCTCCCCAGAATTCGAATCCCCGATCATCCAGTGCTACCTGGAGGCACTCAGCCGTTCCTTACTACAGCACGCACAAGGGAATGTGAAAATTCCTTACGTTTCCTGCACTTTTGTGTCGACTGAGGAGAGGCACAAAACCTACTCGACTAAATCCAGATTACGATGTTTCATCGCTTATCACATTTTCATTCGACCGCGCCTTTGAAGGCACATTTCAGAATAGGAAAAAATAAAAACAAACTGTGTCCTCATCTAAATTCAAATTATTGATCTTTCAATTTGTTAGAACTATCTACATCTCAAAAGCGCGCACGTGGTATTGCGATATTTTCTTAATATATCAAATGAACTAAGTTTGAAGTAATGAAATGTAGTCAAACATATTCTGAAATTAGTCAGTGATGATAAAATTTTCTAAAAATTAACTGTAGACATAAATGCGAAACAAATTTGTAAATATGCTTTTAAAGTTAAACATTCTAATGCATAAACAGAAAAAAAAAATGCTTTTTCTAAATTATAACATTAGATATATTTGTTTCATTTGCAGGTATCATGCAACAAGATAATTCTGAACAAGTAATTCTGGACCCCAAAGAAATCGCTCGCACCTACATCCGCACATGGTTCTTCCTCGATCTTCTCAGTTCCATCCCCTTCGACTACATTTTCCTCATCTTCAATCAGGGATACGGAGACAATTACCAATTATTACATGCTGGCCGGGCATTACGGATACTGCGCTTTGCAAAAATGCTCTCCCTCCTAAGGTTGCTCAGGTTATCAAGGCTGGTGAGATACGTCAGTCAATGGGAAGAAGTCTATGTGAGTATAAATTTACAAATAGTGAGTTAATGTATCGCTTAAAGGAGAGAAAAAATGTTTTATGAATTTCTTAGTATTTAAACGTAAAGGTGCATCTTATGAATGCATTGTATTAAAACTCTGTTTTTTGGCACGATAATTATTTTTTGCTTTTAAATGTTGAAATTCATAATGAAATAAAAAATATATAATTTTTATTCAGTTTACAATATCAAAAAGCAATGACTTTTTACGGTCCTTCTCAAAGGAAAGAAAAATGAGTTACCATATATTAAGAAGTTCGCCAAGTCAATTATTCTTGGTGCAAACTGAAAAAATTGCGCCAAGATAAATTTTTGAATTTCTCCTTAAATTTCGCACTAAATTTTACAAAATTTAATATCTAAGCATAATTTGAGTCGTAGAATCTAAATATGGAAAAACATTATTATTTCAGAAAAAGTCCGATTTTATATCAAAATACCTATGTTAGAACAAGGCTATATATAAATATAATATATATCGTAAATAGAGTTCTCGAGAGATGAAAAACGCAATTTGAAATTTCTCAATCGGCCCCGTAGAACGAGAGATATAGAACTGTCCTGCCCCCTTTTTTCCCCCGCACTGTGCTTTCGCCACGTATTCTGGATGTTCGGAATTAAAATCCCTGCGAGGCGCTGTACACTTTTCATTTTCCTGCATCGATATAATCTAATGACTGTACAGAAGGTGATATATTTACTTCCTTGTACGAAGTAAAAAGGAAGTATTGTAATCGCGAAAAGTTTCAGGCAGCATATTTCAAGGAAAATATCCCATTTTGACCTCTTTCAAATGCAATTTAAAGATGTATTTCCGTGATATCTGTACGTAAGGACAGAATAAAACACTCTTTTCCTGAAAAAAATTATAAAACTGCTTTAAAATGAATTCTGAAGAGAATTTTTCGTGGCGTCTGTACGACGTACGTACGTACGTATCTCGCATAACTCAAAAACGAGTAGCCTCAGAATGTTGAAAATTTTTATATAGGACTGCTATAACATGTAGATGTGCACCTCGTATTTTGGTTGCAATCGGCCGCACCAAACGTATATAAATATACTTATATATATATATCCCCTTTGTTATCCGGCTAAGTGATCTCAGTTTCTTTACTCTTATATGTTTGTAAATTGTACATTTTTTGCTTTAAAAATGATTTTATTATGTAGTTTTTATCTTCCGGTTAAGGTTTTTCTGCCTTTAGTAAATCTGTATGCAATATTTTTAGAATTATCAACAATTTTAAAGATGTCTAAGTGCCGCTAAGCCTTTTTTTATGCCTGCCATTGATGTTTGCATTTGAAACTGGAGACTAGTGGATTTGTTGCCAATCTAGAGAAACTTATTTTCGCAACAACAAAGATAACGCATTCATTTATTATTGCCAATTAAATCATGCTTAATTCTTACTGGAATTTTTTCGAGGAAATAAGTGTTTGAGATTTACTTCGTAATTTTTAATACAGATATTTTGAGTTTTTATGTATTTTTGCCTTCTCGCGAAGTGAGAACTGAATTAATTGAATGAGAAATACTCAATCGTCTGTGAAAAACTGTTCCTTTTTTGTTTTGTTTGCTTAATTTCTTTTATACATCATTCTAGCTTTATTATAGTATTTGAATAGATCATGTGGCAACGATTAGATAATTCTATTCTTAAATGATATAAATTTTGTGCATTATGAATTATAATATGAACGAAATATATAAGTTAACTGTTATATAATTATTGGATTATATGACAGTTAACTTAGTTTCCGTTATATAATTGTTATATAAGTTAACTGTTATATAATTATTAATACTGTTAAGTTAATCTAGCGCCAGAGTGTCACTATGGTAAACAAATACTAGAGTGAATTTTAAAGAATGCATTTATTCTATTGTGGTTTATGCGATGTCGGCTAAGTAGATTTAATTCAATCCAATAAGTTTAAATGAAATGCAAGAAAAAATGCGTATAATTTAATATTCCGTACAAGGAAGTCATGTGGTGTACACATCAGGTTTTTAATATAGATATTTTGAGTTTTTATGTATTTTTGCCTTCTCGCGAAGTGAGAACTGAATTAATTGAATGAGAAATACTCAGTCGTCTGTGAAAAACTGTTTCTTTTTTGTTTTGTTTGCTGAATTTCTTTTATACATCATTCTGTCTTTATTATAGTATTTAAATAGAACATGTGGCAACGATTAGATAATTCTATTCTTTAAATGATATAAATTTTGTGCATTATGAGTTATAATATGAACGATATATAATACTGTTAAGTGAATCTAGCGCCAGAGTGTCCCTATGATAAACAAATACTAGAGTGAATTTTAAAGAATGTATTTATTCTATTGTGGTTTATGCGCTGTCGGCGAAGTAGATTTAGTTCAATCCAATAAGTTTAAATGAAATAAAAAAAAAATTGTGTATAATTTTGTATTCCGTACAGGTACAGGAAGTCATGTGGTGTACACATCAGATTTTTTTAAAACAAAATTGTGAATGAGAGTGATATTCTGGCCGATATTTTGTGCGTATATTTTATGAACACATATTGCATTTACTGAGTAGATAAACCCCGTGGGTAGACAACGAATACTTTAGAAAAATGCTGAAGAGAGTGTCAAGACAGCAATAGAAATTTCATTAAGCACGTCGGTGCTTCAGAAGAGAAAGAATGTGAAATATCCTATACGGGCATTGAAGATTTTTTTTATTTTATTTTCATTTTGCTATTATTATTTTCTTTCTGTCTGGCTCTTTGTCAAGTTGCTTTTCTTAAATATCTAAGATTGCAAAAGAAGTAAGCAATAAAACGTGTATAGCTATTGCAGTTTGCTCCAGTAATAGATAGATATACGTATGGAGGAGACTTATTATGCACAAACTATAAACTATCGTCTCACCATACTATTTCTTTAAGATAAAACTCTAACTGATGGGTTTTACATTTTATTGTGGTACTTACAATTGCATTCTTACAATTCAGTAGGTTATGAGGTATTTCTCTCGATTTCTTAGCGTGCCTTCGTGGTGTGGTAGTCTGCACGCTGGGAGCTTATTCCAGAGGTCCGCGGTTCGATTCCCGGCGAAGGCGTTGCTAATTTTTCAAGTTTCCTGCTTTAAAAAAAAATACCTAATGTTTCTGAATTGTTATTACAGTTCTGAATCGAAATCTAGAAATGAGATACTGCAGTTTGTAAATTGGAATTTGATAATAAGTGATGAATTCTCTTCGTCTGCATTCCTTTTTATCTTGTGCAAATTTTCCCCAAAACAGCATCATTTTTTATTATTATTGCATTTATAATTCATTTTACAAAGTTGATATTAAGATACTAATTATTATATTAAATAAGCTCAAATAAATGCGACATAATTTTGAAGAAAGAAGAGCTGTTTGGTTAATGTCAATGGTTAACATAGTTCAGCATCGTAAGTGTAAGAAGATTCATTATTTTAATTATTTTACACTTCAATGACTTGGTTTTTATCAGATACCTCTTGATAGGTAATAAGTCTGATGCCGGGACTTGCTGTAATGTGCAGTTCTTAGCCGACATTTAGAAACATAATGTTCAGAATCCCTTCTTTTCCCACATATGCTGTTGTCAATGAGAGAAAGATTAATTTTGTAAAAAAATATGTTGAGAACGGACCGTGCCTGTTCAAGTATTGGTTTAGGTATAAATTAGGACTTTCTTTCTCGTATTCCTCTCTTGATAACAGAAACCGTGAAGGAACTACTGTGAAGTATTATTTTAATAAATACACGGTGTATCAGTACAGCGGTGACAAACTTTCAGGAGAGATATAGTACGATGGGAAATCACATAGCAATGCACGGTCGCAAACGCTTTCCTGACGTGGTACTGAAGACACAAAACGCAAAAGGCGAAGGACACAAGCAGTGAGACAGAACATGTTTTATTATGTTTAGTACAGCAGAAACGTACCAATGAGAAAAAAAAAATAAGCAACGATCGTCATTAACTCTTTCGCATCGAAGTCGCCCCAAACGCCCGAGCATTCAGACATCGGCTGGACGCCCGAAACGCCTGAATATTTTTCTACCTAGTGCTTTCCCCCATCACGTTACTGCATTACTCATTGCTTTCAGTTGTTGTTAAATGGCATGTCAATCATTCTTTTGAAGCTACTAAAAGTAGTTCTATTATTTTAACGCCCATCTCTTTTCTTTGTTTACTGTCACTGTTTATCTTTTGATGCCCGAAGTTGCAATCCCGTCCCAAGGGGGAACTTCACACAGAGTGAAAAAATTTCTCGCTTTACTTTAGTAGGTTATTGTTAGCGCTGTAGTATTCAATTTGTCATGGGGGGAAGGAAAAGCATACCAGGAGAAATTCTTAGATACGGGCGTTTTCGATGTTTGGGGAAAAGAGATTTTGCCCTCTCTCGATGCGAAAGAGTTAAAGAAGGTGTTCGAAATTATGACCCCGGACAGTGCTGGAAATCTGTATGCAATATTTTTAGAATTATCAACAATTTAAAATTGTTTAAGTGCCGCTAAGCCTAATAATGTTTTTGATGGCGGCCATTGCTCTTGTTTACATTTGAAACAGCAGGATAGCGGATTTGTTGCCAATTCAGAGAAACTTAGCTTCGCAACAACAAAGATAAGGCCTTCATTTATTATTTAATCCTTTCTGGAATTTTTTTGAGAAAATAAGCGTTTAAGATTTACTTCGTAAATTTTAATACAGATATTTTGAGTTTTTATGTATTTTTGCCTTGTCGCAAAGTGAAAACTGAATTAATTGAATGAGGAATATTCAATCGTCTGTGAAAACTGTTTCTTTTTTGTTTTGTTTGCTTAATTTCTTTTATACATCGTTCTAGCTTTATTATAGTATTTATATAGCAATAGAACATGTGGCAACGATTAGATAATTCTTTAAATGATATAAAATTTGTGCATTCTGAGTTATAATATGAACGAAATATAATACTGTTAAGTGAC